AGCGCGCGACGTTTTATTTTTGTTTTTTTATTTTTTTTTTATTTTTTTTTTTTCAACATTGCTCACAAATGCGAACTGGTCTTTTGAATAAGAAACGTGCGTTACCGTGATATAATCCGTTATGTTATTATTATTATTTTTTTCATATATATCTTTGAATTATAATATATATTTATTAATTATATATATATAATATATTATATATATAATTATACACACACGACACAAAATACACAAAAACACTACGACACCGTTATATTATTGCTATTATAATTATCGTTACTGTCATTATTATTATTATTATCATCATTGTACACGATTTATATTATTAATTTTATTATTACTTCATCACAGCAACAACAATAGTTACGCACTGTCGTCGTCTATAGTTTTTTTTTTTTTTTTTTTTTTTTAATTATTTACCGTCAGCATTATACTCTCACATATTTGACAATGATATTGTTCTTACACTGTGTGCTATCCCTATTTTATGGTTACTACGACAATTACTATTATTATTATTATTATCATTATCAAACCCCCGTCTTCGTTGTCACCAACGAATTATCGTACCCACAATAGTTTTCATCGCTGAGTTTTCCGAGTGCTATATCTTAACGTTTTTATCACTACGATCAACTATATTTACACATTACCGCTGCCGCTCTGCTGCTAACTGCTACTTGTTATTACAACTTGGACCAGTACGGTTATTAGAACTCTCTCATTATTACGATTACAATTGATTATTATGATTATTATTATGATTATCATTATTATTGACACATTTATATTATTTCTAAGCAATATCAAATACATTTTTTAATATATTTTCATTTTTATATATATATATATATATATATATATATAAAATAAGAAATGTAATATTTGGTTTAATAACTCGTTTGTGTGTGTTCTCAATTATTTTTCTAATTACCTATCACATCCTGGATAGAAAACAAGAAAAAGAAAACAGAAAAGAAACAGACGAAAGATATATATTCATCTGTATTGTTTATATACTGTGCCGATTTTTCGAAGTATGCGAAGAAAAAGAAAACAATTATTATGCGTCGCCGGTGTTAATGGCGATTCTTTCTTTTCAGCCAGAAGGTAAGTAATATCGATGCGTTGGCATGTACCACGGACACATTTACCATTGTTTTTTTTTTTTTTTAATCTTCATTATATAGATCGGTATCGATATCGCGCGCTTGGTTACGTATGTACGAAATAAAACGAAAAAAAAAAAAAAAAATCAATCAACTCTGCATCATCCGACATAAAAGTACATAAATTTGCTACAATTAAGCAATATGTATATTTTTCTCGTAAACAATTTTAATCTCTGACTGATATATCGATCATAATTCACGTCTGTTTGTTATGTACATCACGGGTATATCTTGCATTCACGATAATTGGTAAGGACCGGAGAGTTTTTATGCGCAAATAAATATTTTAACAAACAAAGTGCAGAAAAGTTTTAAATTATAAAAACGTCGACATAGATAATCGATATCAATTCGAAAAGCAGAGCAGTGCTGTTAAATGTGACAATTGCATTATTAGGAAATGTAGAGAAAAATAAAAAAAAAAATAAAAAAACAAAAAAAAAAACGCATTCGCGATATTGTGAGTAATCAGGAATGATGTTGTAAGATAATACGAATAATTGCATTATGTTCATTATGATTTCTCTGTATTTCTTGTATTGTTACTTTTACTCATTTTGTGTTTTTGGCTTTATAATAAGAAACACCGCACGCGCGCGAACGACTCGAGGATCGGTGCGTTCCGCGTCCGTTAATTGCAAATTAATTTTTAACAACGTGAAGAGACGTTGCTGAGATAAATGTCCTAATGTGATCGGACATTTATTTAAAGAAGCAATTATTAGATAAAATATCATTCAAATGTGTTTTAAAGTAGTTGTTTTAGGATAATATATATAACAGATTTTAAATGTTAGTTCATAGCTTTACACATACGAATGCTTTGTCGTAATTACTTTTTGAATAGAAACGCGTTCGGCCAATGGGACCATTTGTCTTAAAAGTTGCGTCCACGATCGAGCACCGTTGCGTCGATCGGAACGCGCTGTCGTGAGAGGAGTACGAAGTAAGAACGACTCGTTTTTTTCTCAACAATCAAGTTTACAAGACACTCGACCTTGATATCCGGTTTAGCTGTATCTTTCGAGCGAGAGACGGTATCTTTCCTTCGACGGTATCTCCGTTTTGAAGAAACGGGGAAAACCTCGCTCTCGCAAATAGGCGGGGCAGTTTTGTTCGCGTGTCGAGAACAAACGGGTGTAAGACGGGTGAGTATATATATACGAGGACGCGAAGGAAAAGATGCATATCGCGCGCGGAGGAAGCAAACACTCGGAAGCCGGGAAACGAGGGAGAGACTTCCTCGTGCGCACGCGACGAACACAACCCGAGCGGAAATCGCGGGGGATCGATCGATCTTTTAAACAAAACAAAAAAAAAAGTTTTGGTTGTCACACACACACATACACACGCACACACACGCGCGCGCGCTCAGCTCGCCATAGAGTCACGCATAAATTTTTTTAGTAACGTTCTTAAGTTTATGTTTTACATCTATTTGTTTAGTTTCTTCGAGATGCATGCTTTAAATGTCACCCAGAATGCTCAGTGTACCTTACTCTCTTCGTCGTCTCATCCCTCATATGTCTGTTAGGCTTCGTGTGTACACACATTGGAGACCCTCGTCGGACAATGCACATGCATTTTATATCCGCAATATACTACAAGTTGGCAAAAAACAAAAAAAAAAAAAAAAGAGAAAACAGCTTGTACACGCGTCTTCCATTTCCTGGATGGAGGACACAATATGCGAGAATGTGCGATTCCATAGAAAGTCCTCACGTTCTACTTCAAGTGTCACCTGTTCTCCTCTTTTTTTTTTCTCTTTCATCTTATTATTGTTTATTTGTCTTAGTAGCGTATTATTATTTAAACAAGATATGCTTTTTTGAAAATAAGATTTTTATATTTTCAGGAGATTGATTTGTGAAGTCACTAATAGCGAATTAATTAAATAAAATCCCGAGAATTAATTTAATTAAGTAATTAATTAAAGAACGAGAGAGCAAATAACAAATGAAAAAAAAAAAAAAATCAACACTCGTAGGTAAAACAGAGGTTCCCGTTCAAATGGGGGCGACGACATCCAAGGGGATGTTGTGTAATAAAATTATAACAATTAAAAATCTTTAATATATAAAAGACAGTATTTTTTCCGTTTCTCCAGCTCTTTTATTCTCGTTCGCGTTTTGGGGTAACGCGACGCGGTAAGTCTCGATCGAGAAAGAAGTTCGCGAAAACGAGAGACGTTGGGAACCTCTGCGCGCGCAAAAAGTGACGTCGTATCGAAAACACGGTGAATTTTTGTTGTGTAAAAAATGCAGTACATTTGCGCCTGAAAGGTAAATAGATCGCGTCTTACAAAACGCGTCTTGAAAGCACATCGAGAAATATATGTTTATTATATATACATATTCAGCGCACACGTGCACGGGCGTTCGCAATCGCGGTGTAACCGCAAAATGTGTAATGCTGCAACTCCCTGAAAACCGCAAGAGTGCAGTGACTTGCAAAATGTCGCGTGTTAATGACATGGAGTCTCGGGGGCTGTTCGTGTTCGTAAGGGCGGTCAAACGCGCGCAAATTCGCGAACTAGCACATCCGCCTTGTTTTATCCGCAACTTCCTCCCGCGCGAAACGTACATGCACACAACATTCACATATAGTGTACAAATGTGAAACGTTTCGGCGTGTGTCGCTCGTTTGATCGTGCGTGTGTGCGTATGTGAATCACTTCATGCATGTGCGTGCCGCATCTTGTCCCTATTTCTTCCTTCTCCTACCATTTTTTTTTTTTTTTTTTTGAATTAGCAGTGGTAGGCGTTCCGAGAAAAAATCGGAGAGGAAAAGTCGCCGTTTTTGAATTTTTTTTTTTTATTATTTAAAGAAAGAAAGTTCTTACTTCGCCTCCCCACGAGAAGAGAAAACAGCGCACATCGTCGAGTCTCTTCGCAACAAGCCGTATCTTCTCCGAAGTTTCTTTTTCTCCTCCTTTTTGTTTCCAACGTACGTGCCGTAACGCGCATATAAGTGCTTCTTTAAACGACGCGAAGTCTCGTTTTTAATGGATTGATTAATGCGCGGAGAGCGTGATCTCTACGGAGCAGGAAAAGGATAGAAGAAGAAGAAGAGAAAAAGAAGAAGAAAGAGAGAAGAAGCGAGGGAGATCGCAACGGCGAAGAAAGGGAAGGGATGATTTTTTTTTTTTTGACACTCGCGCGCTCGATCGTCGAAAATAAAATGCGAAACTGATTTATCACCAAATGTTTCCCTAACAATTTTTTTTTCTTTTTTTTTTTTAAAGGTAACTGGCATAAATTTCGAGCTGTTTTTTGCGCGTTTTGTGTATTCGAGCTCTTTATACGTGCGCAGTAGAAAAACTATCAATTGTTTTAACGATTTAATGCGTAAAAAGAATAAAATTCAAAAGGAGAAAGAATAATTTTTGAACACAGGATATTGAAAATGTATGGCGATTGATTTCTTAATTGAAAAACAACTTTACGACACGGTTCACGTGCATGTATACAAAATAAAACAAGAGATATTAGAGATCAATTATTATTGTTTGTGTAGACTCTCTTATCGGGTTCTTATATAAAAACTCCTTCAACTTTTTTAAGCACATATCGTTCTCTAACCCGAGAGGAACCGCCACAATCGACGCGATCGAAGTCACTCGGGAGAATACAAGCGCGACACAATAAAAAAAAAAAAAAAAGAGAGAACACTCGCGCAAACGATCGCGCGAACAAGAAACGGGGGGGGGGGAGATGGGGGGCCGTTGTTTTTTTTTTTTTTTTCCGGCGATCGTGGTTAAATAAAGAGGGTTTTAAGTGTGTTGGGGGTGTGCAGCTGCATGAGAGGTGCGTTGTTGTGTTTCAGTGCTCACCTCTATGACGGGGCTGTCCTTGAACTCTCTGAACACCCAGTCAGCGAAGAAGTTGTTCACCTGCCAACTGTGCGGCAAGGTACTATGCAGCAAAGCATCCCTGAAACGCCACGTTGCCGACAAACACGCCGAGCGACAGGAGGAGTACAGATGCGTCATCTGCGAGCGGGTGTACTGCTCGCGTAATTCCCTGATGACTCATATATATACCTATCATAAGAGCAGGCCCGGCGACATTGACATTAAGTTCTTTTGAAGGTTTAGATAAGGTAGGGACCACGCCAAAAAAACAACCCAAACGTTACACTGTTATTATTAAAAACACACACACACATACATTATACACACATTTATATCCATGGCACACAGCATCTTTCGAAGGTTTAACATTTTACAATTAGTCTCTATTTTTCTCTCTCTCTCTCTTTCTCACTCTCGCTCTCAAAATTCACCCTACCCTTTTCCTATTTATATATGTTACGTCCCTTCCTCTCTTTTCTCTCGCTATCTTTGATTACGTTTCTGTTTCTTTTAGTTTTATATCTCACTTTTTTATATTCTCCTTTTTATTTTCTCTCTCTCTCTCTCTCTCCCGCGGTCTTATTACGTATACATATATATGTGTATCCGCAATGTATGTATTTATTACCGAAGCGCGTGTTTTTCCATATCGTTATGTGCCCCTCTTGAGATTCATTTCGTGTTCCTCGTTTTTTTTTATTTTTTTTTATTTATTATTATTTTTTTTTGTTTTTTTGTTCTCTTCGTCGTGTTTCGCATCCGCGCGCGTTCGTTACCGAAGGTGCATCGTCTTCTCTCCCGAGCCCGACGTCGCAGCCCCGACGGCGCGAGCCTCGTTTCCTTTTCCTCCTTCTCGTTCCGCATCGGCACTCCGCGAATGGTGCATGCCACGGCAGAGAGAAAACCGGTCCCCCGGACTTGTGCGCGCGCGGAGAGTATATATCTTCTTTCTCTTCTTGTTCGCCTTACGGTTCGAGATCCTCTCGCGCGCCGCCCGTGTCCGCTTCTCGGCTCGCGTAACTGCTTTCTTTCCTCCTCTTATCCCGTCGTCCTTCGCGCCCCTTCGGTACCGTACGCGCCGCTGATCGAGTTCTTCCGGTATTCGCCGGGGTCCGTTATACCTGCTGTCAGTGACTCGAATCCCCGCGACGCATCGGTAAAGCAAGCGGGCATGCTTTTATATACATCAGCTTTTATAAAGCTGTGCGCATTGATAACGGAAGGGTGCAATTGTTGCAGCCACGGATGTGGGGATAACATTTTTTTTTTTTTTCTTTCTTTCACAAGTCCGAGGAGAGAGACGAGACTCAAAACGGCCGGCAGAACTTGGCGAAGATATACCCCGGCCGTCTCATTTCTTTCATAAGTTTATATACACGTGTCTGCAAAATTAACTTGTGTATACGCATCTCTGTAAAATTAACATTGCGAATCATTTTTACTAATAATTAACGATTTGCAAATTTATTAATTTCCGTGAAAGTTATTTATATGTGACACGGTGGGTTAACAAAATTGTATTTACTCTAAAGAGTCATGAGAGAACAGGTATATGTGGACGGCGAAAATTGCAAGACGAACTCTTGGACATTCGCAAAAAATACAAGCGATAACAAATCTTATTCACCTTAACAGGAAATAATTTATAACACACTCCTGTGTTTTATCTGTCTCATTCTCTCTTTCGTTTGTACTGTTCCACCGTTCGCTACTACTTTACGCAATTTCTTCCCTTTCTCCTTTTTTTTTTTTTTTTTTTTTTTTCCAGTAAAGCCATCTTCCTCACCTTAGCTATACGTTGTATTTGCTCGTTTGCATGCTTATCTAATTGTCCGCCTGCTGTCCGCCTGCTTGTAGCTTTTGTTACGTGTTCAACTTGATTTCTTCATTTTGGTTTTTTTTTTTTTTTTTTTTTTTTTAAATTATTTGCACCTTAAATTCGCGCGNGTTGAGGAAACCACGAGAAAGATGTGGTCGATGTGGAGACTACAAAAAATTAAACGAATTTTTGTAGAATGCGATCGACGATAAGTATCGCGATTCAATCACAACCGCGACGATTGGCAGAAATCATAGACGAGAGTGTAAAAAGAAAAAAATACGAATGTTTTTAAACAAAAAGTAAAACAAGAATTTTTTAATGATATAATAAACAGTTTTTTCATTGTTTTGTTTATTATATTATGTTTTTTTCTGATTTTTTGCAGTTTTGTTGAATTTTGTTGCTTTTTAAAATTATGTTTGTTAATATATAATTCGGCAACCACGACGAAATTTTCCGACTACAATCAAGTAACGAAGATGAGGTTATACAAGGTTATATGAGATTTTTGTGCAAAAATTATTTGTACGATCGCAAAATCGCATTGATTGCACATTTTTCAACCTTGAACGTCTCGACGTTTCTTCCGTCGACTTTCTTAAGTCCGATTAATTGATAATGCAAGTAACCGTCAAAATTCTGCGTCTCGGTCACTTAAACTGCGCATAATTTAATAATTACATAATCCGGTACGCAGATTTGTTGTTAATAAAATTTCCATCTACGGATTGATTCCGTGTGAAACGCTAACGCATACTAATCGCTAGCTCCGATGCACGCGCGGTATAATGATACACCAGATTGCCCGTTTCTTTTCCTCTTCTCTTATTTTCCTCTCTCCCTTTAGAATTTTTTCAAGTTACATACAAACTTTCTCTTTTCGGAGAAGTTTCCTCATTCCGACCAAAAAAAATAAAAAAAACTCACAAGAATAAGTAAACGATTACAAGCGTTTTTTTTTATGCTAACAAACTTATCTATCTAATTTATCTATGGAGCTTTTTATACCGACTTTTGCACACAACTCCACATTTATCTGAAATTCTCTTATTAAGTCAAACGCAAAGAAACTATTGAAGAGAGAAGTTGCCAGTCTGTTTCTCTCACAAAGCTGGTAGTTTCGAAACACGAACATTTCGAGTCACCTCGACTTGACTTGTAAATATATGTATATATACGTATACGCGCGCACACATATATAAGAACTTTATACACAGTATGTATAAAGTTTTTCTGAAATTGTGTTTGTTGCTTTTATGGTTTCGAAAAACGTTTCACGCGCGAGATGCAAAGACGTACTACCAACTTTTGAGCTCTCAGCGATCGATATTGCCTTATCGTCGCTATGGCGATCGCGTTAAAATTTTACTAGCGTCGCCTAAATATAATAGCAGCTGTAACTCTACTCTGTACATATAGTCGACTCTGATGTATATTTCGCGTTATACAGACGCGTCGAAATATATTAAGTAAGAATAAAAATTAAGATTTAAAAAGATTAAAAAACAAACAAAGATGCAAAACTGCCGACGGAGATATTCAGGCGTGATAATTTATTGATTAATAAAAGACTAAACGAGTTTTTAAAATCTTAGTTAACAATTATAAAATAGATGTGAACATTAAAACACAGACACGTAAAATTTAATAAATGAAAATATAAGGTCAATACGAGCCGGATGTTTAACAGAGGATGTTCGTGTTTGAACGATTTTATTCTGCGTTTAACGTCATAGATATAAAATATTATAATAAAAAAAAAAAAAAAACAACTATTATATAACTTTTTATATTAATAAATAACTTATCACGTCTGAATATATATCTGACTCTTTGCTTGCGCGTCTTTTATGTCGATATGAATGATTTTATTAATTCATCGTGTGTGTCGGCGGAGATGTAACACTTTCCAACAAGACCGATCTTATAACGATTCGGATACGTTTCAGGTACGGGCAACGGGATGCATCCAGCACCGACTACGCCTCCCACTGTCATGTACCGAATGCCGCCGCCCACGGCGGGTGGCATAAACGAGCCTCAGGAATGTCCGTACTGCCGTCGTACGTTTTCGTGCTACTACTCCCTCAAACGCCACTTCCAGGACAAACACGAGCAAACGGACACGCTCTACGTCTGCGAGTTCTGCAAGCGTACGTACCGTACCAAGAACTCGCTGACGACGCACAAGAGCCTGCAGCACCGCGGCACCAGCGGCGTGCTCAAACGGCTCCTCAAGGCCTCGGCGATCAAGAACGTTCTCGGTAGCATGCATCTACCGGACCACGCTGCCACCATGCACCACCATTTGCAGATGCAGCAGCAACCGCAATGAAAACGTCGGAAAAAAAATCAAAGCGTCCCGGACCATTTGCGTCGTCGCTGCCGTTCTCGTCATCGTCGTCTCATCGTCGTCGTCGTCGTCGTCGTCGTCATCATCATCATCGTCATCGTCGTCGTTTCTCACGCGATTCGCTCCCGATCGACACTTGTCTGTCAACGCACATCCCGTAAAGCCAAATTTATATTTAAACAGAACACGCACACACGCGATTTGGGTTTTGAGCCCACAAAGGGTCGCGCTTAAGTTGTGTTTAAACACACTGCTCATAAACCTTCTTAACACATTCTGTCTATTTTATCGATCTGTTATGTAGAAGAGAAACAGCACGCAAAACATTGAAGAGAATGTTGATTATCACAGAACGTCGGGGCAACTCTCTGTATCTGTAACACTTGTTACATTAGCAAGTTGATAATTAACAAACTGTGTAATAGTCCCGTGAACACACACACACATACACACATACACACACATATTTACTTCTCTTTCTCTGTCTACATTACCGGTTTGTAATATAGAAAAGAAAATCATGGCGATTAATTAATCGGAGGTTTATATATCGGTGCATCTGCCGCGAAAAAACTAATAATTACCAATGTAATCTGTGTTTAACGAGATCTCTTGTTTCTCTGCGTTTTTTTCTCCGAACGTTAGGTTTCACGGATTCAGAGACGCGTGTAAAACAGAAACGGCAAAAATCGCCAGACCGGAATTAATCGATCCGGGAAAAAGAAATTCAATTTGTTTCGATCGCAGTGAGAGAGCTTTCACAATTAATTTCACTGAATTTATTTAATTCTTAATTTTGCGTTTGTCGATGATTGCGTTAATTTTACGTGCGACACACGGGATACGGAATAAGAGAGAGGGAAGCGGGGGGGGAGGAGGGGGGGAGGGAGCACGCAGGCGGAACAACTCGTCGAAAGAGAGAGAGTCGAGAGAATCTTCTCTCTCGCGTGCGATCTTCTTCTCCTCCGGTGTTTTTTCCTTCGTCTTTTCCCCGTCATCTCCATATCGCGCACAAGTTCTTCTAGTTTAGGCTCGCCGTAGCGTGTTGTTTAATTTTTCTTCGTCAAGACTGCAATGAATCCAAAGAAGGACAATTTGACTGAGAAGCTAGTTCGACTGAGAGAAAAAAAAAATAAAAGGAGGAAAGAGACGGAAAAAAGGAGGCTCGAACGTTAAGATTAGTTTGCGCGAAGCAAAAAAAAAAAAAAAGAAGAAACACATTCCATTAATCAGCGATCAGGTGGCTGTGCACGCTGATGACACCGGGATTCGACCGACGGAGTCGGTCGGTTCTCCGGCGAGATCTCGAGGAATTTTTACACGTTTTCACACGAAGGACACTTATATCCCGTCGCGTGTTTCTAGCCAACGTTGTCCAACACACACAATTACTTATAGTAGCACCTTAGAGAGATTCGATTGGATTTGCATTTAGGATGTTCGGGGGAAGAAGACAGTCTTCCGGGACAATCGTCGAGATGGAAATTCTTTTGTGTCGGCGCTATTGAGACTAAGAACGCCTAAAAGAGATCGATCAGACAAATCGCGCCTAACTGCCGAAGAAGAAACAACGCGGATCCGTCTCGAAAAAAAGAAAAAAAAACGTCGATCGGAAAGATCGGATACATCGCGGAACAATTCGCGCGAGAGATTCGCGTGAGTAGTAGTTGCGCGCGGACGGTGTGTGTGTGTGTGTTTGATCTTATAAAATCGCGAACGAGAACTAAACAAATCGAGGAGAGAGACAGAGACAATCGTGCGTGAGAAAATAAAGAAAAACGTGAGATCGGGAATGTCGGGGCGTCCGGGAAGTTTTACGGTTCGTCCCGATTCCGCGTGCGTGCAAAAAAAACCATCGGGAATGAACGTTCACGCGATTCCGAGAGCGACGAGAACGAGGCGAATCGATGACGTTTGGGCCTAAAGGTGACACGCGATGCGCAAACGATCGAGGGGGTGCGCGTCCCGATGCGTTCGGGAGATCGCGGTGAGAAAAAAGTGTGATCGCGGCAGCAATCGGTCGCGGTTGTGGAAGCCCGTCGATTATCATAAACGAACGGGAAGCAGGGGGAACGGAAAATCGGATTTCACGAGACGCGAGAGAAGAGAGAAAAAGAGGAGAAGAGAGAGAGAGAGAGAGACGCGTAGACGCGGAGGTTTAGAGCTAAATATATTATGGGTTCTTAATGTGTATATGTAGGTTCGTCGTATATATATATACGCTAAATACAAACTATATTTTTAACTCTTTAAAAGTAATATTTTGAAGTGTAAATATATTATATTCGTACGATACATCGATGAAAACGATGATATTCTCCTGTTCAGATTTTATAAAAATCGGCATAGTCCTATACATAAGTATTTCGAGGATGGACGGAGCGGTGTTGTGAACGCGCGGCGCGCGTGTGTCTGCGGATTAAGGGTTCGAGATTGCGTTGCAGATATTTATCCGATCGGAGATAGAGTTAATCTCAATTTTAGCTCACCTTGTCCCGATCTAGAAAAAAAAAAAAAAAAAAAAAAATTCCAACACAATCTCGATCCTAATTCCGTATTCTAATTCCGGGCTTTACAGAGCTTTCTCGCGAAGTATGTTGAATTGATGTCTTTTTTTTTTTTTTTCTAGTTAATATACTTTTAGAGTTTTAAAACAAAAGAGTTTTTTGTCCAGCCGCTCGAACTAAAGATAAACCCGCGTCTTCTGTTTACACATTCCGTTAATTTTTTTCATTCACTATTCGCGAAGCAATTCGGGCTCTAGACCTGATCGAGAGAAGCAGCTTCATTCAGTTATTTTATAAAAACAAAAGAGAGAGAGAGAACACTGCTCCGCTCCCCAAACTTTAATATATCCATATTAAGAAATGTACAAGAGGAAGAAGGAACCGTAAAAGTTGTTCATCGTAACATATTCAGGTTTTAAACTCAGCGTAGAAAACAAAAAAAAGAACGAGAAAATGTTGATGTTTTATCTGTAAGGCGAAAAAGGAAAATGCCATAATAATTAACGAGCAAGTACAAATTATCGTGGAGAATATAAATTATGTCTACGTCTAACTCTTTAGAATGCGTAGTATCGGAAAGGGAATATTTAAGCGGAAGCGCAAAATATAAAACGGGGGGGAAGGGGAACAAAAAGAGGAGGAAGAAGAAATACGGGGAAGTGGACACCGCCTGCCTCGAATTTCTCTCGGGTAAACACGCAACAATCGAAAGAAAACAAGCAAAAAAAAAACAAAAAAAGAAAAACAAACGAAAAAGAAAAAAACTGCGCGAGATCGAAAAGGGTTTAAGCACGAGTTTCCAAACATATCTTCGAAGTGTGAAGTATACTGTGAAAAATATACGATTTTAGATATTTAGGCTATATCTCTACCGAGGAAGATTTTATAATTATTATGTATACATTCTTAAAAAAAAAAAAAAAAAAAAAAGTCGCTAGACCGATTCTCGCGATGGACGTTTGGTCGGGACATAATGTGGAGAGAATGCTGTTGTGCTTCTTGTGCGTGCGGCCGGAGGGATCCGCAAGATTTTGCGTTTTGTTTTTGTCTTTATTTTTTCTTGGGCAAAAAAAAGAAAAAAAAGAAAACCTGCGAGAAACGCGCGCGATTGATTTAATGAAGAGAGAAATTTATCCTAGTCATTCCGGGAATTTTTTGATGATTCTGTGATATATCGGAGGGGGTCGTGGCATCAAACGTAAGAGAGAAAAAGAGAGACCACAAAAAAAGAAAAAGAAACGTATGTCTGTTCCACATTATGATCGCCAGACGTGTAATCTCGATACTTCTCTAGTGAAGGAAGGAAAATCGATAATTGATTATTAAATATCGAGAAATTTCTGTGATGTTCTTCGGTTGGTATATTAGCGCGATTGCTATGTGAACGGAAAAAAAAAAAAAATAAAAAAGTATACGGAATTTATTTATCGATGTTCGGTGTTGTATGATGTATTGTAAGAAGCGAGACTGTATATCGGGAAAAAAATTTCGTTGTATCACCTCGAAATTTTCGAGATGGGGTGGGGAGAAGTTAGAGGGTTGGGATTAATAGGCAACCGCTGATTACTCCGTCAGTTCAGAAAGGCCGCGGGAAATAAACAATCTGCCAGCAGACGTTTGTAATTAATTGACGAAAACTCGACTCTCGGCTAAAGTTTGATTTGCTTTGTGTTTTTTTATTTTTTTTTTTTTTTTATATTTTTTTTACATTCTTGTTCTTGCACAAATCGTTCGTAAAGTTTTACACAGCTGTGTGAGAATTAGTAGAAGCTTTTTGTCCGGTAACACGTGATAAATGCGCTCAGGAAGATTAGCGGTTGTCATTCATCGCTTCAGATAGAACTCAGTTTGGTGTAAACGTCTAATAATGCTCGCGTGCGCGCGGTCGGGTGAACGGATACGTGTGCGTGAGTGTGTGTGTGTGTGCGTGCGAATGTGTATGCGTGTTGTGCGGCCATACGCATTCGTATGCACATCCCCGAGAGATGCACGTAACTGTGTAGCAGGGTAACGAATTCATTACGCACGCAGTGGCGAGCGCGAGGAAAAACAAAACGAGAAAAAAAAAAAAAAAAAAAGTAAAACCAGAACGATTGTAAATTATTTATCGGAATGTGCCAAGGTCTCGAGCCGTTTACACGGACGAAATTTTAGGTGGGTAAACGCGCCCCGTCTCTCTCGCGTCAAAACGAAATATTATCATTATTAATAAGGCTAATCGTTTTTAGGATATAACGGGGATACGATTAAATAAAATATATAAAAAAAAAAGGCAAGAAAAATATTATATATACGAGAAAAATCTTTGGGATTTTAAATGTATGAATATCTCCTTTTTTCGTCTGGTATATAATACATATATATGTATACATATATGTATATAATTTTATCGTGAGAAGAAAAACCGCGAAAAGCCGAGAAAATATTTTCGATTTTATCCGAACGTTATCTCATCTCTGCTCGCATTCTATGTAA